TGCTGCATTTATTGACTTAACTGAAATTCGAAATTAATGTAAAAATACAATTGTAATTATTTTATTGTGTTTTTCTTCTTTTGTGCAATATTTAGATATTAAATGTTAAAATAAAATACTCCAACTTAATTTTTTTCCTTTTTTTTTAATAATTATTTTCTTTTAACATTATGCTTTTAGATGCTTGGTCTGAAATGAAAGGGCTTTTCCTTTTTTAGTGACATTAAGCTTGATAGCTAGAGGGAAAGTGGGACCGGATACAGAGGACTATTTAAAGCTGTAAAAGAACAAAAGCTCTACAGCCTGAAAGTGTCACATAACCTTCAAATATTTTCCTGCCACTTGTTTGCTGGGGAAGGATGACTGATCTTACTTCCAAATGGAAAATTGTAGACTTTCTGTTCAATCTTTATTAAACGCATGATTTGTTTTGGAAAGCAATAATTTAAAAACTTAAGGTTTATTTATTGAAAATTAATTAGCACTTTTTTTTAAAAGCATAGGTAGTGCTGAAGTGGCAGGGTGCCCAGGGCACCCCCTTGGCTACACGTCTGTTAATAGTTAAGCAGAATACTGTCATTTTTATGGTTTCAAATTTACTTTTGAGCCGTCGTCAGTATTTGTGGTCTTAGGCTGCTAAAGTTTTATGCTTTGCATGACATATACACACTTTTTTTTAAAATGTAATTAAAAAAAAAAAAATAGGGAAAATTAACTGTACACGTATACAGTCTAGAGCAGGGGTTCTAAACCCCATGCCTGTGGGTGCCAATGTGCCCGTGAAGCTATTTTTGTGTGGCTGCAACTGCCCGCTATATACTGTATTAGTATCAACCATGGCCATGCTGCGGCTCAGAAATGGCATTAAATGCAACTATTTTAAATTTTTTGTTACCTTTTTAATGTAGGGTATTGTTTATGATGCTTATGAAATAAAGAAATGTTAAGAATTGTTTTTTTTTTTTTTTTTTTTTGTGCCCGCCAGCATTTCCTGTTTATCAGATGTGCCCAGACGGGGAATAAGGTTAAGAACCCCTGGTCTAGAGCTAGTTTTGATGACATTATAGAAAACTAGTAGAAATGTTTAAAGCAATCATCTAAGGAAGGTTATTATGTAAATGAATAATACTTCTTTATCTCTTCTTCCCTGTTTAAATCAACTGATTTTTTTACCTTAAGGCTAAGAATGTAGAAACCCCTGTTTCTTTTGTCAGGTGAATGACAAAAAAGGAGAAAATACTTAAATGTTGAAGAAGACTGAAATATTATTTCAATCTTCTTCGATGTTTAAATGAACACAGCTCTTCATAGAAGTCATAAGTAAAGGAACTGTGCAACTTTTCTGTGAATTAGACAAAATGAATTATAACCAGTAGAAATATTCAAGAAAAACAAAGATTTCTTTTCAGCAGCAACTTGAAATATCTCATTCTGATTGTATAGTTAATGAAAAATGCAACAAAAACAAATTTTGGTTTTAATATAAAAGGTCCTAAAAATTAAACGTGCAGTTTATTTGCAAAGAATAAATGAAAAAGAAAGACACTTGTATTGACGGTAAAAATGCAACCATCTTATTGCCAATTGGCAATTTTTATGGAAGAAAATGAATAATGATCTATGATTGCAAAACATTATTTACTACATATTTTGCATTTTATTCAGACAGTTTTGCCCCAAATCAGTTAATAAACCTAACTGTCCCCCCCCCAGCAGAAATTCCCTGGCTGTTGTTTCTAAAATAAATTTAAAATCATTGTTCTTTTTAAGATTTCACAGCACACTGTTTTGCTGCAGAAATGTTACCACAGTTTCTTCCATTGCAGGAAAATACCACGAGCACATATTTCAGTATTAAGTTTGAGATAAAAAATATCACAGTTTGTATATAAATGATTGAAACTGAAAATACAACAGAAATGGTAACATTATTTCGCTAAAACTAAAAAATTAATGATTGCCTGAAGAATTGTTATGGCAGGGTGCCAGTGAATGGCACATTCTGAAATTTTATCATTTCTTTCTGGGTGAGGGATTGCATTAATATACATGTGTCAGAATTTTATATTGCAGAGTACTTCTGATGTGGTACCTTCAAAAAATTAAAGAAATTGAAGATATGACATGATATATGCATGCGTAGCTCCAATAGCCGCACAGTATTGTACAGTGTCTGTACACTTCATTTGAAATTGTATTGAGTCATCCAGAAAGATCTGCAGTTTTCCTAATTAAAGTACATGTTCTTCTAATATTTTTTTTACTGCTGAGAAGGAGTGACTTTGATTAAAGTAGATATTTAAATGTGGTCTTTTTTGCTTGCACTGAATAATTTTAGTACGAGTTATAGCATAGTTTTTGTTTCAGTGCAGTGCTAAAAATGGAGAACCTAAGAGTTCATTTTCTGTCATATAATATTTTTTTATTTAAAAAAAAGGGGCAAAAAATGCTAGTCGGAGTGCTCACAAAATTTATGCTATATGTGGACAAAATGCTGTTTTGGATGATGCAGTTTAAAGGTGATTTGAGAAGTTTAAATAAGGAACTTTCAAACTTGAAGGTGATCTCTGCTGTAGACAATTATCCTCTGTAAAAACAAGGACCCATTAAAAGAAGCTATCTCTGAAAGTCAATGTTGTGCAATTCAGCAACTATCAGACAGACCAAATATTCCAAAAAGTACATTACATGATCATTTGAAGAAGAGGGGGTATGTAAGTCACTACAATGTATGGTAATCCTATATTTTAACAGAGCAGAATATGCTTGAGTTTTGGTATGTGATTCTTTGCTGGGAAAAAAAATAGAGACTTCCTTTTTTAAAATAGCAAATGTGGTGCACAATTATTAGAAATGAGAAATGGCTACTAAACAATAACGTTACTAAAAATAGATCATGGGGTAAGCCAAAAGAACATCCTATAGTGACATTGAGAGGATTGCTGCACCTAAAAAATACAATACTTTGTGTATGGTGGGACAGCAAAGAAACTGTATACTATGAATTGTTGCCATCAAATCAGACAGTTAATCCAGAAAAGTGTTATTCCCAAATGACAGTTTTAAAAGCAGAAATTGAAGCAAAGCATCAAGAACTGACCAGTCATTAAAGTGTTCTCTTCCTAATAATATTTGGACCTATATTTTTATAAATATAAAAGACTTATTGAATATGTCTGGGATGTTTTGTAGTATTCATCAGACCTTGCAGCCTCGGAGTTTCATCTATTCAGGTCACTTCAAAATTCTCTGAATGGCCTGGAAACTGTCAAATGGCAATGACTCTTTTTTTAATAAGTTTTCCACCTACTAGAATGATTGCACTAGAATAAATTAGTGCTTATGTGATTCAATTAAATTTCTTATGTTTTTGTATTTAGCATTAATAACTTTCTGCCCTACCTGTATGTTCTGTGCACATTAACAACACATAAAATCATAAATCTGTTTCCATTAACTTACATGCAGCACATTACGTTTTTTTACTTCTTATGTAAGTATTACATATTACCACCTGTCCATTAACCAACTTCAGTAGACTCCGACAATCATGTGCATAACAATATAGTTTTTACCAAGCATTTTAACATTCATACTTTTTATTATGTTCCAAATACCAGTGATTTTTCTAAACAAATTGGCTTATTTTTTTATTTACTCTCAATTTTAAAATATGTGGATTAAACGGTGGTAAAGTTTCTGCAGGTATATAGTATTTTGTGCAAAATTGTTAAAAGGAATAACTGTTTCGAGTGTATTCTTAAAGTGATAGCCACAAAATTTCCCAAAGAAACAAAAGCCTTCTAAGTAGATTTATTGATCCATTGTCAGGGTAAATACCTAATTAAAACATAAAATAAGTGTTATATATACTTTCTTGACTTTTTTTGGGGGGGGGTGTTGGTGAGTGGGCATATATACACACTCTATGAGGTGTTTAAATATGTTTTTGAACTTGTGTATTAGAATATGGTTATGATTGGGGGCCATAATTTTCTTAGCCTTAATGAAATGTTTTCTTTCCCCACAATTTCAGTATGGAAAAAAAAAAAAAAAACAGTGGAAACTAAGTCTGGAATATAATGTAGATGAATGATAGTCTTTAATTGACTAAGAATTCAGTGTTAGGCTGAGTATATCAATGCATTGTCATAAGGAAATAACCAATTCCTTTGTTGCCTCTAGTACAGCACATATGATGAGCTCATTCTCCTGTAAATGATTAAGAATTTCCATATAGAAGGCACAATTAACTGGCTGCATCATTTTCTTAGATTGGCTTGGACTAAAGCATGGACACTGTAAGGACTGCTATCATTTTTGAATCCTTTGCAGAAGCTCATTCTCCTGTAAATGATTAAGAATTTCCATGCAGAAGGCACAATTAACTGGCTGCATCATTTTCTTAGAACAGCTTGGACTAAAGCATGGACTGCTATCATTTTTGAATCCTTTGCAGAATCAAACATAACATTAAAAAGTAAGATAAGATACATGGTCGCAGGATAGGGCAATGATTTCGTAAATAGGTTTCATCATTTTTAGGTTCATGTAGGTTTCCAAAGCTTGGGGCAAAATAGGATGTTCACTCTGTGTTCTCTGTGGGAATCCATGAGTAGGAAATGGTACTTCTGATTCCTGATTTTCAGAAATAGATAGATCTTCACTTTTTCAAATATTTATATGTTCTAAAAGATATCTCAGTTTGACATGTACAACATATATATGTCAGTAATGTTAACAGAATAATAATAGCATTCTTGGAATGTTATTCTCAAACATTATATGCTTATAGTCTTGATGATATAGTGCAGAAATATATATATATATATAAACTCAGAATGGTAGTGCAGAAATAAATATAGAAAAAAAAAATTCATTTAGAAGTGAAATCTTTTGAATTTTTAGTTGAAATTAATCTGTTGTCTTTTTTTATGCATAACTATTATGATATCCTTATATTTTTATGCACACATTTGTAATTCTGATTATTTTTCCAGCTGTCAGCTAACAATGAAGAAAATGAGATCGATTTTGAAAATATTCTGAGTAAATGCACAGCAGAAATACCAGTTGATGAGAACGTCATGAGCACTGTTAATGCCATAAGTGGTTATGTACATCAAAATAACAGAGGTAATTAAGCATATTTAAATGCACGTTTTGTTTTAAAGTTATTTAAAAACATGAAATTGTTATTATTTGTATTCATTGATAGACATGCAAAAGTTTACCCATTTGCGATAGGTGTTCTGATAAATAGATGGTGCTTCAAGAGCACCATCTATTTTGTCAGAACTAGTGGCAGTGTGGACTAGTGGCTCATATCTGGAGAGAGAGTTGCATTGATTAAATGCAGACCAGTAAGAACACATCTGACACTGTTTAATTTTCAATAAGGGTAGTACTGGAGCTTTGTTCTGCTGCAACATTAGGCAAGTATATGGTGAGGATGCGGTTAACAAAAGCACATCATTGCTGATTTTAAAACTTCAGAGAGGAGATAGAAGCAGTTTTCAAAAAAGAATGTGAACCAAGCCATAACAATCAATTTAAATCCAACTGTAGAGGAATTAGTAAAAACCTTCCAGGTACACAGAACAACAGCTTGTGGTATTGGGTTTCCCCACAAAGTTCCACATCAACAAGTTCCACATTGCTGAGTTCCACATCAACTGAGTGCTGATCATCAAGAGGTGTGTATCAATAACATGTGTTTCCTGTCTTTTTCGGTACAAAAATGACCACTTCTTGATATGGATTGCCACAAGCGATGAAATGTGGGTCATGTTCTGTAATGTAAAGTATCTTAGGACTGTGTTGCATTACTGAACTGCCTGCATTGATGTCCAAACAAGAACTATGTTGCAAGAAGGTGTTGTTCAGTGTATGGTGGGAATGTGAAAGAAATAATTCATTATTCCACCGACTTAGTCTCTACACACATCCACCTTTTTTCCACTTTCCAAAACTCCTTCATTGGAAAGACCTCTGGTGATATGGATTCCTTTGCAACTTGCCAATTCTGTTTTTTTTTTCTCTTTGACCACTTCCTCCAATTTTATAAGTTGTTTGCAGTAAAGATCTTAGTTAATCGTTTGGTTGTTTGGAAGCAGCTCAAATACACACTACCTTTGTAATCCCACCAAACTAGCAGCATGTTCTTTTTCTGATGCAATCTAACTTTCAGTATGATTTGTGCTGATTCATCATGCTAAACCATGATCTTTTCCTTTTATTGCAGACAATCCATTTTTTAATTAGCAGTGATAATTCATTTAAAAAAAATGGATCCGTTGCATTATGTTTGAAATGCATTATTGCAAATATTGATTAGTTGTGTTAACTGAATTTCTTTCAATTCATGTGGATCCAAATACTGAGCTTCTTAACTAGTCCAGGATGTCTTATGTGATTTTCAGTTGTTATTTGTGATGCATTTAACCTTTTTGAAATCCTTCACATAATTATATGACTATTTGATTCAATTATGGCTTTAATTTTATCATAATCAACTTCCGAAGTTTGGCCAGAACTGGTCATCTTCAAGTGAAAAATCTCTAGAATAAAATTTTTTAAACCAATTCTGATGCTTGCATTCTGTTAAGCAATCAGTATCATAACATACACGGAAACAAAAATGCACGTAATTTGCTCCTCTAGCAACCTAAAAAGTCAAATGAAAAAAATTATAAGATTGACAGAAGGCCAACAAATTAAACATAATGTTATGTATTTATCCATACCAAAATTACTTTCTTGTCAATCCAATATATGTAAGTAAATTACACTACCTGAGATTGAAAATGCAACACTAAGAAGGTGTGGCCAGAAAATGATGAAATTCAGCGAACAGAGAGAGACAGCAACGAACAATAAGTGATCCTTATTTTGAAATAATGTGCATAATACAGAGTGAGAACAGCGCCACCTCATTAAGTTGTAGGATTACCTTGGACAGTGATACATGAAGCAACACATCTAAGTACAGAGTTAGTGAGACTATGGATGGTGTCCTGAGGAATGGCTCTCCATTCCCTGTCAACCATTTGCCACAATTCATCTTCTGAATGCAACAATGGCAAGGTCTACAAATGGCACCCAAACACATCCCAAATGTGTTTGATTGATGAGAGATCAGGAGAGAAAAGTGGCCAGGGAAGCATCTGTATGCCTTGCAGACAACATTGGCTGATGCAGGCAGCGTGTGGTTGGGTGTTAGCTTGCTGATAAAGGGCATTGGGCACTCCCCAAAGGTAGGAGAGTGTCACTGGCCGCAGCACATCATCCACATGTCATTGGGCCTCCATAGTGCCCTGAATACAAACTAGAGGTGACTGGAATCCTACGCTATTATACCCCAAACCATGATGCCGTGTTGTCACATAGTGGGGCATTCCACAATTACTGCTGGATTGGATCTGTCTCCACGTCGACACCACACTCATACGCAGCAACTATCATTGGAGAAACAGAAGCGTGACTGATCTAAGAAACAACCTTGTGCCATTCTATCATCTAGCTTGAGTCCGGCACCATTCCAGACATTGGCGTTTATGATGTCGAATCAGTGACAGTCTTCTTAATGGCTGCCACAAGTGAGCCCACTAGCCACTAATTGACAGCAAATGGTTTTGGTCAATATGGGAACATCCAGGGTGTCATGCTTGGGCCAATGGCAGCATGCTGCGGAAGGGAGGCAGAAGTGGCTTGCGGGTATGCCACCACCCACAAGTCCATCGGCAGACGCATTGATCCCCCATGCTGACATCACTCTGGCTGCACCGGCACCCCTCGAATTTGCCACATTTCCTTCTTCCAACTGTCGTCACCACTGCCGGTGTACTACAGACACATCCACATGTGTGTCAGCTAAGATTTGCTGTATGGATCAGCCTGCCCTTCTCGGTCTGATCACCACGCCCCTAGTAAAATCATCTGTCTGCTGGAACTGCCTCAGTTGATGAAGGCCTGGCATTCTCTGCTGTTACAGGTGCCCTCTGAGACAAGAACAAATTTTCTACGATGATTTTCCTAGCAGAAATAACGGCATGAAAATTGAACATTCTGCAAGTTCCTTCTCTTATATATTCATCATGCGCTGGAGAGCTGCACATTTCGCATCATTTTTATAATTCTATCGCGTATGTCTATCCTGAAATTTGCATAATTTTCGGGCACCTCTGTTTGGTGTTGCATTTTCAGTGTTGTGTAGTATATATAGGATAACTGATAAATAGAAGGTATTTGCTGGGTAAAATAATTTTAATGCTTATTCAAAATTATTTTTATTTTTATAGTACATTTCACTATAAGCTTGCATTTTAGAACTAATGTATGTTGAACATGCATTCCAGAATATCTGAACTGCATATTTGTATTTTTTCAGTATAGAGAGAATGCAACAATTTTATTGATAGGATAATGAAATAATGATTTATTTCAGTTCTAGTAAGTTTCTGCCAAACTAGTTAAAATCATTGGTGATGGCTGATCACTGGCATGGCAAAAATTAATTTCTCTCATAAAAATGCAAAAACTCATATTTAAACAATTTCTGCGTTTATACTCATTATTCAAAATTATAGCAACAAATTGACCATTTTAATTCATGATATAATTCATTGTTTGAAGCCACTCATTTCTTCATTGTTTTCCCAAATAAGATAGCCCTCATGTGCTTTGTCGTAATTAAATAATTTTGGATACTCTCTGGTCTCTGGTAATTTTGGCAACCTCATGAAAAGTTGCCAACTCTTTGGTGATTTTATGAATTGGCATAAAATGCTTATTTGTTTAATTTTAGGACTCTCATGCACTGTTCTGTTAAAAGCAAAGATCTGTTAGGCTGATATTTACATTTTTATAGTTGGTGGGTACTGTTAAGTAAAATGATGGTTAAATTAAAGCACATGAATCCTTGTGAACCCAGATACACCTGTGGATTGGTTATTGTCGTGTGTATCTCAAAAACATGGCAGTTCTACTGCATGTTGAAACCAGGACTATGGATATTCATAAAGTAACAAATTTTGATTGTATTATTCCATTGTATTGATTGGTATTATTCCATTGTATTGATTGTATTCTTATGTATGTATTATTCAATTTTGGCATCTATAACCGGCTGCTATTAAGATCTTTGAATTGTTGCATCATTTTAACCCATATGCCAGTTAGCGTTGGACCAATCTGTGTGAAATTTCTGTGTATTCTATTATTATTATTATTATTTTTATTTTTATTTTTTTTTTTTTTTTTTTTTAAGTAAGACAATCTGTTATACTAAGTTAAGTATAGAAAATAAAATTTAAAAAAAAAAAATGATTCTCCTATGTCATTAATTATCACATTACCTATTATATTTAGTATTTCTTTACAGCTATTGGTTTTATACATTTAAGAACTGAAAACCTAAATTACATATACTGAATTCTTTCTGTATAAAAATATGTACAATTTTGTCAAATATATTTTTGTTCACTGAGAAACTGTACTTGATAATATGAATATAATATAAAACAGAATTAATAATTTTAAATTGCACTTTCTGAATCAGAAATTCATATTATTTTTTTAATTATTTATCAGTAATGATGTAAAACATATTTTAACTCTAACTGTTTTAATTATAGCTGCATCCTCTGAAAATGAAGAAATACAAGTAGTAAGAGAGACAACAGAAAATTTTACAGATCCTGTTACTCGACGTATAATAACCAATCCTGTGAAAAGTGTTATTTGTAATCATTCTTATGACAAAAGCAGCATTGAAATCTATCTGCAAAAGAAATCAAGGTAATGTTTAACTGGGTTCCAATTCATTTGGAAAGTCGGGAAAATGAAAAATAATGAAGGAAAGTCAATGAATATATTTAGCAAAGGAAGTTTAAAAATAAAATAGAGATCAGTTTTCTCAAGTAATAACAAGTTCATATTTCAAATATCGTCAAACTCACAGGCTTATAACAAAGTCCTGGATATAATAACAAATATATATACTATATCCTGGAAATAATATCAAACTCAAATCAGGCTTATAACAAAGTCCTGGATATAATAGGGTTCGTATGCTCCTTAAGAGTCCTTAGGTTTTTTGGAATCGATTTTTAGACTTTAAAAGTCCTTAATTTCGACCAAATTCGGCAGGAGGTCCTTAATCATCTGAAATTTCTGTCTGTTTTTATGACTGCCATTTTGAATGTGAATTAGCATTTTGGACAAATATTTTTGGAAATTGATTGGTAAATGTAGTTATCTATTGAATGGGTGAATAGGTTCATACATTATAATGTGTTCCTATTTCTAATATAAACAAGTTTCTGAGCAAGAACTGAAACATAAGCATTTCGAAATTATTTCATTTTTCTAGTGAAGAGCTCTTAAACAACTTTTCGCTTTTGGGAATGTTAATTCTTTATTAAATGGTTCCATATTTGGCTACATATCAACTTTTTGGGATTTTAAGATCAGTTTCTATAGAAAATTTTTAATTTAGAAATCTGGGAATTTTTCGATGACATTTTTTAAAACATTATAGTATTAATCAATTTCATTGAAATAATGCTAATATATTGAAACTGTATTCAAGAAATAACATTAAAATTAAACATTTTTATTTTTCACTGTTATATTATAAAGTGACATTACTTTCCATTTTGGTGACTTATTATATAATACTTTGAATCTGAAAAATAAACAAGGTAATAAATGCTTAAATTGTGCTTAGCACAATTTACAAAATAATTCTTAGCAAAAGTAAAATAGATATGTAATTAATTAAAATTGCCTTCATTCCCATATAATTGCCTCAAAATGCATCAGTTTTTCTCTATAAAATTAATTTTACACTTTTTTTTCGACATATTTCTGACTTTTTGCTGTTACAGAAGTGGTAGGGGTAATTATTCTTTGGGATTTTAAACATTTCAACTTGGAAAGATTTGAAGGCAAGATTTATAGACTTGCAAATCTAGAAGATTCCAGAAAAAGAATTTTTGGAAGAACAATGAAAACATAACATTTGAATGTTTTACTTCTGATACTAGGATTTTTTTATCATGTTTATCTTCTCTTTGTTTTCTCTCCTCTTCACTAGACACAAGCATGGTACATATCAAAAATGCTTCTAAACTTATGACATGGACAGGCATTTATAGAAAGGTATTTTTCTATTAATAAAGAAATTTAAAACTGACTATTTAAAAGATTCATGTTATATGTCTCAGTGCTTCATTAGTGGTGTAGCTAAGGCGGGGCAAGGGGGGACATCTGTTCCTGAGCGCAGCATCCATAGGCTACCAAATTGATGTTACAGAATTTTAGAATGAAATATTCTTTCCATTCTTGGCATACAGAAAGGGGCGCAAAATCTTCAGTTGTCCCTGTGTGCTGACGGCTCTGTGCATCATACACAGGGCTGGCACTGCACATTTTCCCAGCTGATGCAATCTATGTGGATCCTAAATTCTGCTGTCTAGTCCCTTCTTAAATTCTAAAATGTTACCATTTCTAGATTTTTGTTGCTCGATGTGTCATTAAATTCTATACCGGCTCTGTAACTGGCCCTTACCATATATCCTTTCATATTTATTCTGAGACTTTCCTATGCATTCTAAATCCATTTAGTTTTTTAGAATAACAGAAATCTTTAATTAAATACAAAAATTCTAAAATGAAGAGGAAACATATTGAAGAAAGAAATCAAATACATGAAGCGAAAGAAAATTATTATTCAAAGATGGTATGTACAGTTATTATTATGTAAATTTAGCAATTGTTTATAATTTCAGCCTTTGCTATAATTTTCCCTTTCCGTTTCCTCACCAGAATGAAAATCACTTAAATAATTTTTAAACTAAGGTTTTGGGGTTGTAAGTAGAATTTGTTTCTGGCCTTCGCTTACATGGTGCATTGGTTCCTAGTAGCTCTGGCAATATGTAATTATTCGTCTTTGCGTTATCGCTGCTGATATTTGAATTTGTTACATGGTAACTATGTTACGAGTTTGTTGCGATGTGCTACTCAGATTAAAATTAAATCGTGTAGTGTTTAATTACTAGTTCACAATTTTAACTTGAATTTACTGTCCGTGCTTAATTGGATCACCATAAGCTGTAATTGATTTTGCTAGCATAAGAACATGCTTTTATGTTCTAAGGTCTTTTTAAATAAGAGATTTATTTAAACCTTTATCTGACTTTGTATTTCTGTTTAACTTTAAAACAGAAATACAATTATTTCTGTTTTAAAAGATCAAGTAAAACCTCATAGGTACATAGTCGAGAGATTGGCAAGTTAGGAGATAAAACATTCAGAAACTAGTGGGAATATTGAAACAAATTTCTAATTGTTAGAAAAGATGCTTAAAGAGAAGGAAATTGATATAAATTAGCTAGAATGTCTGGAAAGGCTTCAAATTAAAAAGATGTGCAAATGTTTAATTGAGTATTGTTGTCATAAATTACATGTATTTTAAACTTTGACATGTTAATAGATTGTGATTTTAATAGTGTTTTTTTAACAAATATTTTTATAAAATTTAACACTAGAATTATGGAAAGGGTCATTTTGACACCTAGTGAACTTTTATCTCTGACAGCTCTTCTTTTTTTTCGCAAATATTTTAGTCTTTCTCGACTTTTCCTAAATCATTGCGATTTATGAAATAGTACAGATTTCAAGAAAATCATATTTTTATTTTAGCCCTAACAAATGATTATACCTAGAAATATGGCAGGTGTCATTTTGACCCCTTTTGTGAGAAAAGAAATGTGAATACATTCCATTGTAATATCTGAACACTGTTACTTCTGTAAACTAATTTTATTTGCACATGCTAAACAAAATACAAACAAAGGAAAAGAATATGGTAGGTCTGTGTAGTTTCACATCTGTTAGTCACATTATTTGAAATATGTGCAATACTTTTTCTTTGAGGAAAGAAACCAGAGAAAAGAGATTATTACGAGCTGAAAGTTTGTAGATGTTTCGTAGATATTTTGTTTATTATTCATAACAAGTTTTAGTAGAAAATTTAATTTTATTTACATGAATTTATTATAGTGACGTACTAATGGCGTGTAGAAAAGGACTAACGCATGAAGAATTGTGAAACTGATACAAGAACTAACTGATGCCGATTCAGTTCTGAAATCGAAAGTACTCTACGATAAAGATGGAGAGGAAACAGCTTGTGATTCTGAATTTATTATATAGAGAGTAATCAGGCAATATCATCCTCTAGCTCAAGTGAAAGTACAAATGGATTTGTTTCTACGAGTTCAAATTCTGCCGTACCTAAGAATGCCAAAGCGGGAACTAGTAGACGCTCAAAAGGGAATATGAAATTCAACATAATTCAGACTAACACTTGTAAAGGAATTGCTAGTGATGGAACTGTATGGAAAGTAGAAAATACTTCAAATACTTCTGGTCGACCCTTGCAAAATATCGTGTGAGAAAAAGGAAGGACTGACATCCTATGCTAAACGTTACATTTGTTCTGGTAAAGCTCTTAGTGCGTGGAAGTTATAATAAACGAAAACATTTTATGCATCATAAAGGAGTGTACTGATGCTGAAGCCAAGGGTAAACTTCATAATATCTCTTTCACTATTTTATTAGCAGAACTGGAAGCATTCATAGCGTTGTTGTACGTAAGGGGGGCATTAGCCGCCAAGGGCTTACAATTCTTAGTTTGTGGTCTAAGACTTAGGGACCAAAGTTTTTTCATAAAACTATGAGTAGAGACAGGTTTCTGGAAATTATGAAATTTCCTCGTTTTGATAATAAACTAACAAGGTCTTCATATTTGCAGTGTGATAAATTTGCACTAATATCTGAGGAATGGAATACTTTATAGAAAACTGTAAGCTTTGCTACAAACCAAATGAAAACATTACGATTGATGAACAGTTATTCCCTACAAAAAACTGGACGCCGTTTTTTGCAATATATACCTAACAAGCCCGATAAATTCGGAATAAAATTTTGGCTAGCAGTAGATGTTAGGACAAAATACTTATTAAACGGATTTTCATACTTAGGAAAAGATGAAATGAGACCAAGTGATCAAAGTTTAGGAGAGAATGTAGTAAATCGTTTACTTGATCCTTACAAAAATACTGGCCGAAATATAACTACAGACAGTTTCTTTACAGCTGCAAAACTTGCGAAATCCCTAAAATCAAAAGGATTGAGTCATGTTGGAACAGTAAATCGCGCAAAAGGAGAAATTCCCTCCAAGTTTAAAAAATGTAAGAAACGAACTTTTTTCTTCAGCTGTCATGAAACACGACTATATAACACTTACATCATATCAAGGTAAAAAGAACAAAAACGTAATTTTGTTAAGTACACTCCATTCATCAGTTGAATTTGAATCTAATGAAAAGAAGGTTCCTGATGTATTACAGTTTTACAATTCTACAAAATTTGGGGTAGATGTTCTGGATCAAATGGCGAGAAAGTACTCCATGAAAGCACATCACGCTGTTGGCCAGTACATGTATTCTACAATATTTTGGACTTTACAGGCATAGATATGTGGATTTTGTATAAGGAAGTTACAAAAGAAAATATCAGAAGGGATTTTCTGTTGCATTTGGCAGAAGACTTATGGACAAGATTCAATAAAATCAAAAAAAAATGAAGAAATGTCAAGTAAGGAAATACAAAGGTTCTAATATTTGGCGACAACTGTCTTCTAAAAAGAGCTTTTGTGTGATTTATGATATTTATAAAGGCTATTGTGCCTTTGCTTTGCATCCGTGTATATATTGGAAGAAATGAGTGTT